ATATACTCTATTTATTGGAATTTTTCGTCTTATTCATTTAGCGAAAAATTAAAAGTGGAAGATTTTCATCTTAACCTAAAATCTTTTATTTGGTTAGCTGAATTTTAACATTTTGTTTGGTTAACTTAACATAGGTAGCCAATGTTAATCATTTAATTGGTTACAAAGCAATGTAAGTAAACCAAAACAGAATGTTACGGAAGTAAAAATGTCCAAAATTAAATATGTAGCCAAAGTAACCAAGATAACATATCTTTGTTAAGTACCAAGCTAAATATTGTAGCCTCAACTTTTATAAGAGTTGTGTACAAACTTGCATACATTTATTTTTCAAATATAGTGTAGATACTTAACAAATAACAAATACAAAATAAAATAAATTTTAATTCTTTTATATTCATTTAATGTGCGATTATTAAAATTCAAATAAATTTGCCAAATAAAGTATTATCATGTTAGAAATTATTTAGTTTTAATGTATATATGTATATTTGAAATCTAATCTAAGCTAATTACTAACATTTTTAAAAAATATTGTAAGAAGAAAATTTAGTTTGTAATATTATATATATTTATATAAATACTAATACGCCGGTTCTGTGCAAAAACAGTCTCACAAGTCTTCTTGGAAAAGGGCAAACATTTTAAAATTATGGACATAGCTAGAGACAATATGGACTGCAAAATCACCATTGGTTTGAGGAAGCATACACACTGCTGCCCACGTGAGCAGGCCTGCTGCTAGTACAAATAGAGCAACCACCAGCGGATAGGAATCTCTGGTCCAGTGAAGTAATGACAAAGCTCAGATTGAAGAGACGTTTTCGGCATATATGGGAAGTCAGAAATCCGTAAGACGACACTCGACTGAACGGTGCTACAAAGGTCTGTGGTGCCGAACTAATGCAGAAAAAGTCGATGAGTTTGTCACACATCTTATTATATTTCTTTGAAGATGTTGGGGTCAGATGAAGGGATCAAAGCGTTGGCAAACAAAAATCAACAGGCTATGGCAGGATTAATGTACTAGCCTTTAAACCTGAGCATCTGGTCAATTCATATCGACCGATTACCCTACTGGTAATAATTTCGAAAATATTGGAAAAAATATTTTTGCCTCTGCTGGAAGAGAAACAATTCATCTCGGATCAACAGTTTGGATTTTAGAAAGCTGGTAGCAATGCCACAGAGTAGAAACACTTTTAAACTGACGCCACGGAAAATTGTAAATATTGTTCGGCAGTTTTATTGATGTCTGCCAAGGTCTGACACTAAGTCTATAACATAAGGAAAAACTGCTAAAGTCATAACTGCATATTCGGACGATCTACGTCAGGTATCCTGATGATGAGTCGGATTTGAGACCTATACGCGCTGGTGTACCTAAAGGCAGCGTTATCTCGCTTATGCTCTACATTCTCTTCACGACTGACCTCCCAGTGATTAACTCTGACTCCACAATTACATCAACTTATGCGGATGACTCTGCACTGCTGGCGTAGGTAGCAATTCTACTGCCGCTTTTGGAAATTACAAACGCAATTGACCGCGTAGAACCGTGGCTCACCAAATAAACATTGGCACTAATAGTGAAAAGTCCATACAAGTGCTGTATACCCTCAGACACCAAATATGTCCTGAAGTGGCTTATGTGGTCAGTTACTACAAACAAGCACAAGAACAAAGTATCTGAGACTTACAATTGATAAGACTTGGCTCCTAAGGTCAAGATCCCGCCCCAGGCTAAGTAACAAGCTACTCATTATAGAGCAATAGATAGGTAGACAACGACTCTCAAATGAAATAGTGGTAGGTCTTGAGCTTGCAGTGCCAAGTGTAAAATGTATCACGTAGCCGGGAATTTGTCTCTCGGGAGGTTGATTATATTTTTAAACATAAGAGGTTGTAACCACCATTGGCAACTTTGGAGTTGTTGCCAATACTTTTCCCTGCTCACTCTTTCCTTCTTGGACCAATCAGGGTTACGGTCCAACCATTTCAGTGGCAGATAGAATTGCAGAGCGAGCAAGCTTGTCAGCCGGTTCATTTCTGCTTATACCCTTGTTATTTGGCAGCCAGATAAGGTGAACTTCGTTGCGACCTGATGAGCTATTCAGCCATTTTATGCACTCCTGCACCAGTAGCGATTTAATCTCGTTGAGATCACTTTAAGTGCCGCTTAGCTATCGCTGAATATGGCCATACTTTCCTTACGATAGTTGCTTTGGACGTTTATCGCAACACATCAACTTATAGTATAGACTTCTACTTGGAAAATGCTCGGAAAACGTCCCATAGGTATAAAAAATTGTTTCGCTGTCCTGGGACTCCTGCAGCAATTCCTTCCGACGTTTTCAAGCCGTCAGTGTATCACTTAATAGTTTTACCCCTTAATAGCAGGTCTAGCGTGGAATCGTTTCATTCAGCCTTACTTTCAAGGGTAACTTTAAACTTCTTTGGAAATTTACCTTTTTGGTAATGCTGTTCCTCGGGCGAAGATCCAACAGTGCTTCATCACTTGAAGCCTTGAGGTTGGGACGAGATTTCCTTCCCCCTGCCTTTTGCTGTTATTTGACGCATTATATGTATAGTTATTTTATAGACTACTAGGGCAAGAGGTGTGAGTTCCAGCATGACCTCCAATGCTGCCGTCGGACGCGTACGTATTGTACCCAATGCGCAGATACAGGCAAGCCTTTGCATTTTGATAGTTGAAGTCCTACTAAAGCCTGCGATGCTTTCGAAGCCCAAGCCACCGTTTCGTACGTAACAATCGGTATCATGATCCTGGTGTATACCCACCTGATAATCCTTGGCTTGCAGTCCCAGGATTTCCTAGCAAGTAGCTTTAACCCTGGTCAGATCCACATGCTGCTTCCACCGAAGAGTAGAATCCAGAGTGAGATAGGTGTGCATTTTCAGTGCCTTGGATCTTATTGTGATCTATACTCTTTTCCATTCTTTTTAGGAGAAAGGAAGTGAGACTAATTGGCTAGTGAGTAGTCCTTCCTTCCTAATTTGGAAATGAAGATTACCTTTGGAGTCCGCCATGGTTCAAGGATATACGCTAACGCTAGGCTATCTCTCATTACCCAAACAAGGTGAGGCAGTAAGACTTGTACACCTGTTGAAGAAGTGCTGAAAAGATGCCGTCCGCCCCCGGGGACTTAGAGAAAAAGCCAGAGCTTACTATGTTGAGTCTGCAGTAAAAGAGGTGTCTTGCGACTACTTAATCCGAGCGAACTTTCTTATGTGCGACTACAGGTAGACATTGAACTTGCCGCAATTTCTCCGGAAAATGTGCCAGCAGAAGTACCGTAGCTCTTTCTTCTGCACTGGTTGTATTGGTCACATCAGCTCTTTTAATAGCTAATACTATGTCTGTCTTACCTCTGGCAAGAGCCCTGTGCAGCCTTGCTACCCCCGGTGTTGAGGAGACGCACAGAAATTATTTAATTTATTGTAAATTATAATAATTGTATATACAGTGAGCCACAGCTTATTTGATACAGCAGTCGATATAAATTTCGAATCCCAATATTTTCTAAACTGAAAGGAATTTTGAAAAAATTTAAACGCTATATTTTAGAGTAAAGAATTTCATATATATAATGTCCTTCATTTATTTAAAAAATATTTTATTTTCAAATATATGTATATTTTAATTTTATGTACATATTATATATTTGAAAATAAAATATTTTTTAAATAAATGAAGTACATTATATATATGAAATTCTTTACTCTAAAATATAGCGTTTAAATTTTTTCAATATTCCTTTCAGTTTAAAAAATATTGGGATTCGAAATTTATATCGACTGCTGTATCAAATAAGCTGTGATCCACTGTAAACAGAACCCGCAGCATTGCTGTCTAGCTGCCCAAATCTATTTTTATTCAGCCCTAGAGTATCCCGAAAGGCAAAACAATCAGTGTTCCTAGGAAAACGTTTGGGAGGGAGTTGCTTGACCTCTACTTTTAACGCGAATCTTTGATTACACCTTGCATTGTCAAATTAGTCCAGTCATAAGAGCGTTACCATAACGTTGACGTCCAGCACCCCCCTTCTGTTTCTCGTAACGAACGTAGGTTTACAACCCACATTCTCAATATTTAGGTTACTACTAATTATAAATTCAAAGAGAGACTCACCCCTTGTGTTGCAGTTTGTACTGCCCCATTCCGTGTAGTAAGCATTTGCACTGGGGATTAGGGGCACCTTGTTCCTTCCTTCCACGTTGGCTACCATTACAGGATGGGTTCCATGAAATGGTCCTCACCCTCGCCGTCTTCCACGTTGCCATCCACTAGGACTTTTAGTCCCTCCAGGCGTTCCTGCGTAGAGAGTAGCACCCCCTTTGTGCGTCTGTTGTCTTGACTGAGACTGTCCCCGTTGCCTCAGCAGAGGCAACCTACTTGGGCGTACTAGCGCCGAAGTGAGTGGCTTACTCATCAACCAACATTTGATCGCCTGTTCCGTCGCTATCGACCGTAGTATTTGGCTTATATCACTTCATTACTACTGTGCTGAACCTGTAGTTCAGGCAGAACCCCTGCTTACAGATGTGTTCGTAGGACTCATCACCAATACACATGTTGAGCCTCCATCCGGAATCATCAGCGTTGCTGTCAACAACTCGCCAGGCCGAGATATTGATGCCCTTGTTTTGGTTTCTGACGAATCCGAGAGTGAACTCGAATGTCTTGCCTACCCTTTTGGGGAGGAACACCGTCATGCTGTGCATGGGCGGAATATCAGCACCCATTTTTGCGCAGAGGACGGGACTTTTTCTGCCTTTCAGCTTGGGAGCGATCTTTTTTAGCCAGTTAACAGTCCTCTCGTCCTTGCAATCCCTTAGCAACATTCCAGCTTTGAAGTAAACACCATGGAAAGATACTACGTACCCACACCCGCTATATATCTTTTCCATGATGAGACCCCAGCGTCTCTGTCGGATAGTTGAGAGGCAGCACAGAAATCCGTATGTCTTTTAGAGCATCCGCAACCGGAAGAGATTTCGGGCGGAGTGTTGGGATCGGATCACCTATGTGTTAAGACTTTTCTGACCTTTGGAGTTTGGTAACTCTTGTGGCGTTATCTGTCCGCTCTAGCGCTTCGTGGTTTGAGTGCTCGGAGGCGCTGCCTTTCCGCTGCCTCGCCTTTCGATCGGGGTTGCGTTAACCAGGCGACGACTTCGAGTTTGGTGGCGGGCGCGATGTTAACACCTTTTAACCTGTTGCGAGCGAGCTTTTCAGCTTGCGTAGGAGATTCTCCCTTCTGGAGGTGACTTAAATATCACTTTAGGCTGGCACCACTTATATCCCTCCAGCGTGGGTCACCTTGTCCTCGGGGACAGATAACTGGTTGTTAAGGGGGAAATCTACCCTCCTCTTGCTCTTTCTTTTACGAGCACCCTCGGTACAAGCCCATTGTAATTCATCCCAATCTGAGCAGCTGAGCCGGAGGAGAGTTTTCGTAGGGTTTGCTCTGTCAGTACCGGCGGCAGTAGATGCCGCCTGCTGAGCGCCGCTGCATGAGGGCGCGTCAAGTATCACCACTTACACCGGTTGGGAGGGATTGAGAATGCCTTGCGAATTAAGCCCCTGCACCATGGCAAGGTGCCTGCTATTCGCAGAGGATACTCAAAGCGATCTGGTCGTAATAAATTCAAATCTGGGCAAGCGCAGCTGATTAAAATCGTCGTACAATACTTTCAAATAAAGTTTTTCGCACTATAATGGGTGCACGATATAATCCATTAGATCTCTCCTACGATTCTATTGATCTCACCTTAATTTTTGTGAAATATTTTGCATTGACCTTCAACATCATGGCTTTTTCAACAAATTTATTTATTGTATTTTAATAATAAGACAGATACTAAATGAAACTGAACTTCCTAACGGTAGTACTCCATAAATCAAAATTTTACCGCTACAACAACATCTCGATAAATCGTCTATATTAAAGCTCTAGACTGAATTCAATCACTGAAATGTTAAATAAAAGTTAAAAATCAATAGCTATACATTTATTTTTATTTCTTATTCAAGCAACTTAGCGCTTTTTTATTATTCGAGTTTCCAGCTTTTTATTTATAAGTCATTTACTCTTAACTCGGCAGCACTCTACCTTGAACTGTGTTTGCTGTGTGGCAATGTTCTGCTATTCGAACATTTGGCCAAAAACAAATTTCGCTGTCTTGATTCTATTTTATTCTGGCGGGTTCACCACATTACCTTGTTCTATAACATCGGTTGGACATATTAATTGAATGTGCAACCGTCTAATAACACATCCAAACAAAAAGTGCAACATATGTATAGTATGTACGTACACCAGCTAACATATTCTAAAACGTAATTGCAGATTAAACATTCCAAAAAGATTTGCGTATTTTTAAGCTTTACTCAGTTTTGTGTCACTTATTTCGTTTTTGCGTTCATATTGACCATTTTAGTAAGTATTCTAACATAAGTATGTGAAGATGCGTGATATGTATGTACATAAGAATGTTGAATAAATTTTCAGGTATATAAAATATTTTGCTTCTAATAATGCTACATAACTATCTACTAACATATGAGAACCAGAAAGAAAAAGGGTTAATGTATAGTTTAGGTCCCCAACGAAGAAGACTCCAAAAATGAAATGGTAAATGTGTAGTTTAGGTCCCCCAACAAAGGAGGCCTCAAAAATTAAATTTTTTTTTAAATCGTCTTATTTTGACTCTAATATTACATGGGTCGGCTTAAGTATACCATCCCACGATTCCAGCATTAATGGTAGATAGAGGAGATTCTCCAGATCACGAATATATATAATTATAGCCGCCGCAAACTTATAGTTTTCGAGATGGGTGGGCTTTAGTTTAGCATCCCACGATTTCAGGGTTAAGAGGGGTATGGTTGGATAGAGGAGATTCTCTAGATCACGATTATATATAATAATAATAATTGCCGCCGCAAACTTATAGTTTTCGAGATATTTGCATTTTAAGTTGAAAATTTCACAAATTTTATTTTACAATTTCTCGATTTATGGTTATCTTTTCTTTTATATTATGCACTTATTATACACTAACTTTTCACTTCATTGTTTCTACATATTTATTTTATATTAAATATTTAAGTATTTGCTTTAAATAAGCATTAAATTCTTACACAATTTTCGTAATATGAACAATAACAAATGGGTTCCATGTTGACAGCTAACAAGTGTTGCCATATCTATTATATATATATATATATATATATATATATATATATAGAGAGAGAGATATTATATTTTGAAAGCGAATTAAAATGAACAATAAAAGAGGATTATACCCCAAATACATGAACTATAATTTTGTTCATTCCCTTCTCTTGATAAATTATGGTATTGGATTGGCCAACTTTCGTTGTTGATTTACGTGAGTACTTGCCGGCGACGGCCTTACCTCACGGTGTTCCAAAACATAGCGTATCAGTAATGCGGTTATAAGCGCCCCAAACAATACGAGCTATTTGCAAGTATTTATTTGGATACCAGTGGCAGTGTGTCTGGGTCCACACTACCATCTTGGTATGATTCGAGGCCGACCTAAATCTCGTCCGTTTTCGGGTACGGAACCCAGTTGCTTTTTGCAACTTTATTTTAGAACAGAAAAAACAGTTAGGCTGAATTTTCAGTTCTTCCTGCATTTAGGTTTCAACCATAGCCACCACGAATCTCCCCCAAGGGGCCATAACCCAATGAGCAGACTGGTGACATTTGTCGCTTGAACTTCAAATGTCTTTTTATTTGCTTTTTCATTTAAAGTCTATAATATCAGTTCAAGCTGAGTATTATAGCACTATTTCTGACATACTATGCTGATATTACTGAGCAAGGTACATAATAACAGTCATAGTGCATTTGGCTTTTAGTCGCCTTTTACGACAGGCATGCCTTACCGCGGGTAAATTCTTACCCCTACCCGCAGGGGGAGGTATTGGATTGGCCAGTGCGGAAAGAAGTTTGACGCGATTACATTATGAATACCCCGGTGTTGGACTGACCACGGTTATTTTTTTGAAGCGCGACCGAAGGCCGCCAGTGCAGAAAGGAGTTTGACGCGATTGAAATATTAACACCCCGGTGTTGGAGCGACCAGGGTCATTTTTTTGAAGCGCGGCCGAAGGGTGCCCGTGCAAATAAGAAATCTTAACAAAAAAAAAAGTAATGTTAAATAAGGTATATCACTCTCAAAAAACTTCAATTTTTATTAAGGATAATTATAATAACAGTGAAGATTTTGAAAATTTGATGTATGAATACATATGGCGTAAAAATATAGCAAATCAGCATCATGATCCATTTGTGAAATTATCAGATGCAATAAAACATACGTTTAAGCCATAAAACCTTTTTCTTTTATATTTATTCTCTCTTATTTATTTTGATTGCTTTCATTCGTTTGGATATGGCAACACTTGTTATCTGACAACATGGAACGCATTTGTTATTGTTCATATTACGAAAATTGTGTAAAAATAAAATGCTTATTTAAAGCAAATACTTAAATATTTAATATAAAATAAATATGTAGAAACAATGAAGTGAAAAGTTAGTGTATAATAAGTGCATAATATAAAAGAAAAGATAACCATAAATCGAGAAATTGTAAAATAAAATTTGTGAAATTTTCAACTTAAAATGCAAATATCTCGAAAACTATAAGTTTGCGGAGGCAATTATTATTATTATATATATTCGTGATCTAGAGAATCTTCTCTATCCAACCATACTCCTCTAACCCTGAAATCGTGGGATGCTAAACTAAAGTTTTCCATTCGAGATATTTGCATTTTAAGTTGAAAATTTTACAAATTTTATCTTACAATTTCTCTATTTATAGTTATTTTTTCTTTTATATTATGCTCTTTTTATACACTTACTCTTCACTACAATGTTTCTACATAGTTATTTTATATTAATTATTTTTATATTTGCTTTAAATAAACATTTTATTTTTACACAATTTTTGTTGTATGCACAATAACAAATGGGTTCCATATTGACAAATAATAAGTGTTGCCAAATCTATTATACATATAAGT